ACCCACCCACCCTCACTCACACCCACACCCACTCACTCACACACACACACCCACTCCCTCACTCACACCCACTCACTCACACCCACTCACACCCACATCCACTCACACACCCACTCACTCACTCACACCCACTCAAACTCACACCCACTCACACTCACTCACACCCACTCACACCCACTCACTCACTCACACCCACTCCCACACTCACTCACTCACTCACTCACACACACACAGACTCACAAACTCACACACACCCACTCACACCCACTCACTCACTCACACCCACTCCCACACTCACTCACACACACACAGACTCACTAATTCACTCACACCCACTCACTCACTCACACACACACACCCACTCACACTCTCTCACACACTCACACCCACTCACACCCACTCATTCATACCCACTGCCACCCACATCCATGCACTCACACCCACACCCTCGCACTCACTCCCACCCACACCCACTCGCACACGCCCACACCCACTCACACTCACACACACACACACACTCACTCACACACTCTCTCACTCACACACACACACCCACTCACACTCTCTCACACACTCACTCACTCTCTCTCTCTCTCTCTCTCACACACACACACCCACTCACACTCTCTCACACACTCACTCACTCTCTCTCTCTCTCTCTCTCACACACACACACCCACTCACACTCTCTCACACACTCACTCACTCTCTCTCTCTCTCTCTCTCACACACACACACCCACTCACACTCTCTCACACACTCACTCACTCTCTCTCTCTCTCTCTCTCACACACACACACCCACTCACACTCTCTCACACACTCACTCACTCTCTCTCTCTCTCTCTCTCACACACACACACCCACTCACACTCACACTCACACCCACACACTCGCACTCACACCCACTCGCACACACCCACACACACTCCCTCGCGCTCACACACACACACACACACTCCCTCGCGCTCACACACACACACACACACTCCCTCGCGCTCACACACACACACACACACACACACACACACACACACACACACACACACACACACACACACACACAGGTCTTACCCTCCAGGGCTACGTGCAACAGAGCAGCATGAAGCAGGTGAGTGTATGTGGTGTGGAGAAGAAGCGGGATGCAGGAACACAGAACAAATGATTAATAATGCAAAACAAGCAAACAAACCAAAACTAATAAAGTCATGCAGCTTCAGGTTCAGAGGTGTGACGGCTGAGGTGTGATCATGTGATTCTAAAGCATCGTTCAGCTACAGATGTCAAACCACATCCAAACGAAACATGATCTGTTAGTTCAGCTTTTTAATGCTGCTATTTTCAAAACACTGGGATTCACACGAGAATCCGCTATAATAATGATGTAAAGGAAAAAATTCAAGCAGAAAAACATTTACCTCTTACATAACTATGAAAAAAGACACAAATGCATATCTCTCCAAAAAATAGGAAAAGTAAAAAAAGTAGAGTTTTTATTAATATATTAATATTATTTTTATTAATTAGTATTAATATTTCAAATCTGACTCACATCACATGATTTTTAAAGTGTTTAGCAATCGTTTGCAGACAGGTGTTTGAAACACAGAAAATGATCTTCTCTCGATAATCTGAAAAACAAGTTCTTCAGTTTCTCTTCCGAGAAAAGACTGTTTTTTCTGCCATCTTTAATCCAGCTGAATATTCAAAGGCTTCTCACGAGAATCGACTGGAACGTTAAAACAACTGGAAAAATGAAAAAATAAATAGATCCAGGCAAAACTGACCTCTTATGTAAGAGCCACGAAAAAAAATAAACAGCTCCCAGAAATTTCTTGGCACAATTGAGTGTGTGTGTGTGTGTGTGTGTGTGTGTGTGTGTGAGATGGATCGTGACCCCTGTGATGTTATTATAGTTAACTAAAAATAAAAATAAAACCAGAAAATAAAATTTTTTGTTACTTGAATGAAATAAACTAACTCAAATGAAATATAAAAAATAACTTATTTATTTTATTTCATCTAGTTGGCAAGGCACCATTTCTCATATTCATTTAACTTGTACTAAAACAAATAAATATACACATTAAAAAAACTAATTAAATTGAAAAAATGTATAACTAAATTTAAGGGGTTAAAATGCTGAATATTTTTTGTAACTTTATTTTGTAACTTTCAGGAATTTTTTTAGGCCTGAAAATCACAACTGTCAACATTATAAATATAAATACATAAACATTCTAATTTTTTATAATATATATATATATATTTTTT